TTCCAGTCTTGCCTGACCGGCCCCTCGAGCCAGGAGCCCTTCCCTTCGGCCGTCAGGTAAGTCGGCAAAGGGTCCGGGCAGGGGTTGAAGGCCGGGGTCCCTACTCGGCGCCAGGCTGCCATGGGGGAGGGGGGAAGAAGGGGAGAAGCGCGGCTGGGAGCCGCCGAGGCCGGCAGGGTGGGTGGGGGAGGCTTGCACTGCTGGCCGCTAGAATGATCTCGAAACCCGTTTGAGAGCCTCCCGAGCCCAGCTCTGGCCACCCCCCATCCCCCCGCAGCCTCCGCGTCCCAGCTCCGCCCCCTCCGCCCCCGCCCTCGCCTCTCAGACCGTGGATAAATCGGGGAGGCGAGCACGGGGAGGCAGAGCGCTCATGCCTCGCAGCAGCCTGGCCGAGCTCCTTTTCCACGGTCGTCCTTGATGGTGGCGCAGACTAGGCATCCTAGGCACGGAGCGGCCACCACGCGCAAGAGTCCGCCCGTGCCCAGCCCGCCTCTCCCCGTGCGCCCATCCGCAGAGGTCGGCGCCCTGGCTTGGTCCCCCGGCCACTGCGTGCAGCCCCGCGGCCGCCTCCACGCCGGATCGCGAAGAATGCTGGCTGGCCTTGATTCTGACACTTTTCCTGCCTGCTCGGTCCCTCGAGCCAGGAGCCTTTCCCTTCGGCCGTCAGGTAAGTTGACAGCGGGTCCGGGCGGAGGCTGGAAGCCAGGGTCCCGACTCGGCGCCGGGCTGCCGTAGGGGGCGGGGAGCGCGGCTGGGAACCGAGGCCGGCAGGGTGGGCGGGCGAGCCTTGCACTTCTGGCCACTGGAATGAGCTAGGAACCGGCGTGCGGGTACTAACACGCAAGCCTCGGCCCGCCCCGCTCGCCGTCCCAGGGAAAGCCTCCCAAGCCCGGCTCTGGCCACCCCTATCCCCGCAGCCTCCGCGTCCCCGCGCCGACCCCGCCCTCGCTTCGGAGACCGTGGATAAATCGGGGAGGCGAGCGGGGGAAGGAAGGAGGCAGAGCGCGCGGGCGCCCGCAACATGCTGGCCGAGCTCCTTTTCCACGGTCGCTCCTGATGGTGGCGCAGAGGAGGCAGCCTAGGCACGGAGCGGCCACCACGCGCTAGAGAGTCCGCCAGGCCGTGCCGTGCCCTGCCCGTGTCTCCCCGCGCGCCCACTCGCAGAGACCGGCGCCCAGGCTGGGTCCCCCGGCCGCTGCGTGCAGCCCCGCCGCCGCCTCCAGGCCGGATCGCGAACTTGGCTGTCGGCTGCCTGCTGGCCTTGACTCTGACACTTTTCCGGGCTTGCCTGCTCGGCCCCTCGAGCCAGCAGCCCTTCCCTTTGGCCATCAGTTAAGTAGGCGGCGGGTCCGGGCGGAGGCTGGAGGCCGGGGTCCCAACTCGGCGCCAGGCTGCCCCGGGGGGGCGGGGAGCGCAGCTGGGAGCCGCCAAGGCCGGCAGGGTGGGCGGGCGAGCCTTGCACTACTGGCCGCTGGAATGAGCTCAGAACCGGCGTGCAAGCCTGGGCCTGCCTTGCACACTGTCACGGGGAATGTCCACCAGCCATCAGCGGCGTTTCAGCCAGGTCTTCGTGGATGCTGCACACTGAAGACTGTTTCCGGACTTGGAGGAAAAACTTTGCAGGCATACCCAACTCCACCAAGCCAGGCCAGATGAAAAGTTATTTTTCTGTTAGGTATTTCACAGAGTTAATTTCAGGCCGGCCGGGGTAGCTTGTGCTTCTTCTGTACTTAGCCCCTAGGATGCTAATTGCTGTGCTGTCCAAACTCATTTAGAGCCCATATTACTAGGAGTACCCGACAGCCTCCCTGGTTTCCAGCCAGTAGGAGTGAACAACTGTTAATGGCTTAACGTGCTGTTCACCCCAGAGCTCACAGGTACCAGGGCCACCAAAGCCCATCTATATTTTGAAACATCTAAGAGTTGACAGACAGGAGGTTCCTGTTCTTAGATGAACAGAACCCCTATTCTTTGAGGGAGGAACTATTTCCATAGTCACCTGCAATTTTATCTTATTTTTAACATTTCTAAAATAACTTTTTTTAAAAAGCCGTTGCTATTCTGGAAATAGAGTGTTGAAAGGTAGCTATAGTCACAGGGCGGAAGGGAAGGCAATGCAACCGTTCTCCCCTCTCTCAGGCTACAAGAAGCAGTCAGAGTCAGTGGCACATATAATATATACATATTTTTTAAAAGCGTTGAAGAGCTTATCTGACATTCCAGGAAAGCATTTATTTTGGTTTTTGAAGGTACTTTAAAAGTAGGTAGTCAGTTAAATGCATTTTACATAACAAAAAGAAAGCCCAAGATAGCCTTCCTGGCTTTTATACTGCAGGAATCACTTGCTGTCCTTTGTTGGCAGAAAGCTGGATCCTGGAGTTTTGGGGGGGGGGGGGATACACTAGAAGTGCACCCTTACTAGCGTCCTAGCTGGAACCTAACAGCTATTATTTAAGATTTGGCCTAGAACATTTATCACCTTAGGCGTCATTTAGAGATGCATATTCCAGCCCTGAGAAAAGGGGTGCCTAATATTTTTGTCATTGATTTACAGTAATGATCTCTTTAGGTAATCTTCCATAAAAAAATAATTGCACATCACTTTTGTTATGAAGCAGAAGGGTGAATGCCATCTGTAGAGCTTCGTTTAATTGGCAGAATGTTCCAAATGTTTAATTTTAAGCATGAAAAGTCTAAGAATTTCCAAAACGCTACAAACCATTCAGTCTTATTAAGAAATCACACTTTTGCTTATTTATATTTTTAGTACTTCTGAAGCTTGGCCTGTTACATAAGAACTCGGGTGACACTCGTGCATTTTGTGTCAAAGAAGTTGCAGCTCTTAGGAAGTCATATTCTTAACATTCTCGGATCACACCTTTTCAGTGCTGTTTTAAATTGATTTGCCAATATTGCTATCGTTTAGGAAGGTGCTTCCTCATATTAAGGAAAACAAAATGCAAAAAAAAAAAACCCCACTCATTATTGAGCATCTCATAGTAAAATATTGCTGTAAAAATTCTTGTTAGAACAACATCTGTAATAAATGCTTTCCCCGATTTAAGTAACTTCATTTCCTGGTGCTAAAGGTTTGGGAATGTGAATGGCTCTTCTAGTTCCCTCATGTCGTTCTCCTTGAAGTAACCCTCTTGGGCACGGCTAGTGCCATATTTAATTTTGGAGGATTGCACACTGCCTTTCCTCTGCACCAGCTGTGCACAAGCACCCCACGTTCATTAATCCTCAGTGCTTGTTCTGCTCACTGTTTTGATTGGAGACATGGGTTTTGTGATGAGCAGGACACTTGTTTTATTGGTGGGAGCATTTCCAGACAGTGTCTCACTCTGTCGCCTCGGCTAGCTTGAAACTTACTCTGTAGCCTAGGCTAGACTGAAATTCATAGGAGTCCTTCTGCCTCAGTTTACCCCGGCTGGATTGTATGTCTTAAGTCCCCATGCTCAGCTCTGACTGTGGATTTCATCTGCATTTCTTTCTAATAGTGGTGTTGTCCTTCTCAGAGCTCCTTAGCCACCTGTCTTTGCTGAAGAGCATTTACCTTTGCCCAGCTTTTAACCAGTGTCTCTTTCTTGTCCCTTTTGCCTCCCTGTAGGACTGTGCTCCTGGGTACCACAGAGGGAAGCTCCCAGAAAGCAGTGCCTGGGGACCGCGCCCTCTACTGGCTCCTTGTGTGCCCTGCAGTTGCAACAACCACAGTGATGTCTGTGACCCGGAAACTGGGCAGTGTTTGGTATGCTTGCTTGTGTGGGAACTGACCTCAGTTCAGCGTGACCTAAAAGACAGCCAGGAACCAGGCAGACCCTCCAGCTGGTCCTTGCCACATTGCTACCGCCATCGCAGTCTCAAAGACATTGAAACCTCCTCCTCCTGTCACTGGGAAACTGGCAGGGTTTGTTTCTGTGTCTCCCTCAGCCATGGATGCCTCCCTCACTCTAGTCCTCAGTAGCTGGTCCTTGTTTCTCCGCTACTCCCTGGGGTGGCTCGTTCTGTAGGACAGCAGGCCCCAGGAAGCCAGGATCCATGGTCTGCTAAGGGAAGCACTTCATGCTTGTTCATGGGGTTGACAGTCAACAGGACCAGCGCCTAGAGCTGTTTCCATCTTAGCTCGTCATCTAGTACTCGGCCCTTGTCTGTGTTGTGCCGTGTTGATGAAACGAGTATTTATTACAGTTTATTTTTGAAGAGAGTGCAGATAGTCCTTCTGAAGGGAGATCTATTTGAGAGATTGACTGGATCCTAATTAAACCTATCTTTAGCAGATAAAGCAGGAATAAAACTTTTAAATGAAAGGGCTCAAATGTTTTCTATTTGCAAAGAGTCTATAAAAATAGGTTTTTTAAAAAATATTTATTTGGTAGCGATTTCTCGCTCTATCATTTCTTGCTACCAAGGGGGACTTGGTAGATCAGGGGTGACCGGCTGCGCAGGGTCTCTGCTTTGCTGTTGATCCTCCTTGGCTGCATCATACGCGGAGCCCTGTGCACTGCAGCCAAGCCAATAGTGAGGGAATAGCAAGGTCTCCTAAGAAGTGGGTATCAGGGAATTGGGAAAGGTTTTTACTTTCATTCTGTGACTGTTAGAAGGAAGCACTCCCCCAGTAGTGTTCTCTGCTGCTCTCTGCTGGAGGAGGAAGTACTGGCACACACTGAGACCGTGGGGGTGGACTTTAGAGGGGATACTGAGACAGCTGTAGCCAGGCCCAATTCTAGATGAGCCGTGGCATCATGCTTGGTATGGTTCAAGTGGTGGGAAGGCATGATGCCTCGGACACTCTGAGGCTCGGCTCCTCCTTTCCCTGTGACTTTCGTTGAGTTTCCGTTACTATAGGAGAATTGTAGCTCCCCTGTGCCTGGAGTGAGGATGAGGTGTGTGGTGCATGGAGCCCCAATGTGTGTTCTCTTTATAACACCCTGACTCGGTCGCACAGTGTTCAAAGGCTATTTGCGTTAGCTTTTGTTTTCTCTTCAAGCCTTGATGATGATTCTGTGGGCGCCTCGCTCAATGACTTGGATACTATTGGGGATGCTGTTCTGTCTCTGAACCTCACTGGCGTTTCCTCTGCTCCATATGGAATCTTGTCAAGTCTGGAAAACAACTAAATATTTCCAGGTAGGTACTAAGGGTGTGGAGATGGTGGACAGAAACACCTGTCTCTGAGAGAGAAGTATGGGGGTGGTCATTTGTCTGCGCTGCCTTTCGATCCCCCATGGGTGTCAAGTGACAGTGTCTTCATCCCAGACCTCACCGGGGTCTCTGTGGAGCTCTGATGGAGCTGCTTCATGGACACCTCCTTGGACTTTCTGCCCACGGATTTTGTCCCACTCTCTAGAAGTCGGCAGCAGCCCTCCTTCCTCTGTGACAGACCTTTGGGTATTTGAAAAAGGTATCCAGATACAAATACTAGGAGTAAATCTGTCCCGTATCCTCGTTAATGCTGGTTTATGCCAAACATGAGTATTTTCTGTTATGTGTTGCTATTTTAACTGTAGTTCAAGGATATAGGATATAGAAATAGTCTTCCTCTGAAGATGGTTTAAGTCTCAAAGGGTCAATCTTTTGTTTGTGTTTTATCAAAAGATCTGACCAAAAGGAGAGTAAAGTTAAGAAATTGAATCATAGACAGTACCTTCTCTGGAATGTTAATTTAGTTGGAAAATATTGCTAAATTTTACTTTTTACCTTCACATTACAATTTACAATAATCTATCCACCATGACATGCAGTAGGATAATGGATGGTCATTACTAAAAAGTATTTTATAGAAGGAGGCCCTTCTTGTGCGTGCTCACCCCCCAACACACTTACACTCAAACATACTCACACACACTCACATTCACACACATTACACACAAACTCAGTCACACATTCACATACAGTCATACACACACATTCACACACTCACATAGACTCACTTTCAGACACACTGATGCACATACACTCACACACTCACATTCATGCACATTCACTCATACTCATATTCACACACACACACTCTCAAACTCACACACACATTCACACACATATACTCACACACATTCATACACTCGCACACACTCACACATTACCATGCACACACTCACAGACTCATGCTCACACACACACACATTACCATACACACACTCACAGATTCATGCACACACTTGCACATTACCATGCACACACTCACACTGGTGCTGAGGAGGAGCTTATGGACTCCAAGAAATATTTTTATATTACTTTTTATCAAATAGCAAAATGTGCTTTTGAAAGATGGGTGATTCTACATTCATTAAGAAAATCCTACAGCCGGGCGGTGGTGGCACACGCCTTTAATCCCAGCACTCGGGAGGCAGAGGCAGGCGGATTTCTGTGAGTTCGAGGCCAGCCTGGTCTACAAGAGCTAGTTCCAGGACAGGCTCCAAAACCACAGAGAAACCCTGTCTCGAAAAAAAAAAAAAGAGAAAATCCTACAAAAAGAAAGGAAAGAAAAAGATATTCTAATATCTTCTCCAGCCATCATCTACACAGTCAATAAATGCTGTGCCCTGCCAGTTAGGTCCCAGGGATAGTACTGTACTTTGAATTTATCATGTGAAGTGCATAGTTCGTTCAGACTGGAACTAACCTTGAGTGGTTTACTCTAATGTAGTCCATTCATCTATCCCCTTAGCAATGCTTTGTGTTCGTACCCAATACTTCCGGAGGGCAGGGATGTGAACTGAATTGTTTCTATTTTTTACCAACAGAGTGAAATTGGACAAGGTAAATACACTTTTTCTAAATAGTAATGTAGCTATTTCATAACGCTGTGAAAGGTTTGCATAGCTAAACAAAAGGTTAGGATGTTGGGATGGATTAAACACTTAATTACAAATAATCTTAAAAATCTTTTCCTTATTGAATACGTTTTAATTTTCTTAGTAAGTACTTTCTTGTGTATTGACAATTATAGTTAATATTTATAATGTTGACACTGAAACCAAGCAGTATTTGGTCTATGATGCCATCTGTTCGGAGTCTGCTTACTAGACCAGTTTGAATTTATGAGAGCAACCCAGAAAGTGATAGCAAGGAATAACATTGCTGTCATTGACAGTTGGTGATGAATGAGTGAGCCCTTTTGCTTTTAAGTAACTATTAAAAGCAATTACAAAACTCAGTGCCATTGTCCTTGACTTCTCAGTCAGCCCTCATTGTCAGCCACATTCAGAGAGTCCGGTTTGATCACATGCTCATTCAGTCCCAGTCTAGCTGCCTTGGTGAGCTCCCATTAGATTAGTCCCGCCGTCTCAGTGGGCGGAAGCACCCCTCGCCTTCTGCTCTTCATTTGGACCTTGAGAGCTCAGTCCAGTGCTCCAATGTAGGTCTCTGTCTCTATCTCCATCCATTGCCAGATGAAGGTTCTATGGTGATAATGCAAGATATTCATCAGTGTGGCTATGGGATAAGGCCAGTTCAGGCACCCTCTCCTCTGCAGCCCAAGGAACAAGCTGGGGACATCTCCTTGGACACCTGGGAACCCCTCTAGAGTCAAGTCTCTTGCTAACCCTAAAATGGCTCCCTTAATTAAGATATCTTCTTGCCTGCTCCCATATCCACCCTTCTTCCACCTCAACCATGCCATTCCCCCAAGCTCTCCCCAATCCTCCCCTTCTCCCTTCTCTCTCCCAACCCCAGCCCCATCCCCGTACGCCCAACTTTTGCCTGGAAATCTTGTCTACTTCCAATATCCAGGAGGATAGATTTTACTGCATGGACTGGCTTTGTGGGAGCCTAGTCGGTTTAGATGCTCACCTTCCTAGACCTGGATGGAGGGGGGAGGACCTTGGACTTCCCACAGGGCAGGGAACCCTGACTGCTCTTGGACTGGAGAGGGAGGGGGAGTGGAGGGAGTGGGAGGTAAATGGGAAGAAGGGAGGAGGTGGAAATTTTTAATTTAAAAAAAGCAATTACAATGTCTTTCTGTAAACCAAAAAGCAATTAGCCCATAATTCTCTGAAGAATGGAATATTTTAATGTGATACAGTAAACAATGTAATATTGCTTCTTTTTTTCCCCCTTAGAGGTATTTATTAAAAGAAAATGCTAAGAAGATTCAGGCAGAAATTCAGCTTGAAGGTGTTGCAGAACAAACAGAAAACCTGCAAAAGGAGGTAAGTTCTTTGCAAAAAAAAAAAAAAAAAAAAAAAAACCAAACCAGCTCCCCTCCAGCCTCTCAGGCAGCCCCTAGAAGCCTTTTGGTTCTCATCAACCTCCCTGGACAGCCCTGGGAGCCTTCAGGTCTTCTCTATCCTCCCAGGGCTGTTCACTGCTTGTTCTTCCTGGCCACCCGGCTAGCTTAGACCCAAAATAATCACACAGAAACTGTATTAATTAAATCACTGTTTGGCCCATTATCTCTAACTTCTTACTGGCTAACTCTTACATCTTAATTTAACCCATTTCTATTAATCTGTGCATCACCAAGAGGTCATGGCCTACTAGCAAAGTTTCAGCACATCTGTTTCCTGAGGCTCCATGGTCTCTCTCTGACTCCGCCCTTCTTCCTCTCAGCATTCAGCCTAGCTTTCCCTGCCTACCTAAGTTCTGCCTTGCTATAGGTCCAAAGCAGTTTAGTTTCTTTATTCATTAATGGTAATCACAGCACACAGAGAGGACTCCCACATCACAGGGCAGCTCTTGGGAGCCTTTGGGTTCCATCTGGTGGGTTCCAGGAGGCCCCAGATGTCGATCATCAAATGGTTCTAACCCCATGATCCTCTGTAGTGAAAAAGGTTCCTAAGCAGATCACAGTTGCCATGCATGGTAAGGAAGAAACGCGTGGTTCACTTAGCTGCTTGCCTTCTCTCCTTAACCTAAGGGGAACTAAAAGATTGTTGAGGTTTCCTCCTTTTCCTAAATCGAGTCATCGTGGAGTTTGTGAGGTGGAGTGGCTTTGGTACTTAGTGGTTCTTGACCATTGAATCCGATGGTTTTAGGTCCTAGATAAAATTAGCTTGGTCTTCATGTCAGTAGGGAACTATTTATTTTGTTTATCTCATGGCAGGGTAAACATCTTCTGATTTCTAGCGGGTGAGAGGGGCCTGTTATCAAATATATTTTATTATAGATTTCTCGATATGTTCAGACGTACACAGCCATGCATGCAGAAGAAAGTACTGTCTTGACGCCAGGAAATTTGAAACCAAAGATGATATGAGAAGAACTTGCATGTTTAAGTGAGGACTTTGGGTCCCTCAGCAATCAGATACTGTCTAGAAAATAATCTGATTAAAATCCTTGTTCTCTCATTGTGAAAGAAGCTTCTCTTGGTGTTAAGGAGAAAATGCCTGCAGGCCCAATCTTGTTATTTTATAGTCTTTGATATTACAATCACAATCTTCTTTTGACTTATGAAATTACCAAAAAGAAATGACAGCTGAGGGCAGTTATGTCAGCATCAGGGCTGAGAGTTTTGTGGTCACAGCCTCATTCCCACTCCTAAGGAGGTGCTGGTGTGACCCCCATGTTACTGATCAGGCTGGAGGTGGACAGCTCTACTGGCTGCGAGATTCAGGCCTTAGGCAGTCTTCCTGACAACTTGTTCATTTTTTTTTTAATTTATTTATTTATTTATTATGTATACAATATTTTGTCTGAGTGTATGTCTGCAGGCCAGAAGAGGGCACCAGACCTCATTCCAGATGGTTGTGAGCCACCATGTGGTTGCTGGGAATTGAACCTTTGGAAGAGCAAGCAATGCTCTTAACCACTGAGCCATCTCTCCAGCCCCCATGACAACTTGTTCTTGTCTCATAGGAACTAAAACCTCCCAGGCAGTAAGGTTCCACTTCCGTAGTCAGTGTGAGATCCTGCACTGTACACTGACATTCTAGTCTCCCTTCTCAGAAAGGTACATGTTGTTCAGTCAACTCTTAACTGTGCCAACATCATGGCAAAGGCATTGTTCATGTGTCTGCACTAGTGCTGGGGTGAGCAGCCTACCACACCGCCAGCTGTGTACAAGTCCAGCACACTTGTATGAAGTATATACTGCTGCAGTAACAGTGACAGATGGTGCTGCTGCCAACCGAGGTGTTTACAGGATGGTATTTCCCCTGGCGGCAGTGTATCCCTGCTCTGCCACCAGGCTCATAAATCCCTTATTCATTGAGTTCCTGGATTTTATCATATTCTCTGCAGCTTGCTGTAATCATACATGATTGTATTCTTCATGGCCCAAGGAGCAAAGCAGTGGGCTGCACATTAATGTGTGTGTTATACTTGCACACGTAGAAGTACCATTTGGCTTAGGTGTAAGTACGCAATGCCTTTTAGTGTAAGGAAGCACACAGTGTATATGGATGACAACAGTATATCTCCTAAGGAGTCCTTTCTCGTCACTCGGTGACACGTGACTGTACTTGGGTGCTAATATCTTAAGGCTTTCACAGTTGGAGACAAGCTTTGCTAGTCATCTAGACTGCTTGTAAAAATAAACCATCCTTTCTCACAGTGAGCGTGTCTTAGGTGATTTCAGTATCCAATCCGTCAAATTTGAGCCTAGAAATATTTACCTTGGTGTGCATGATCGTGTCATTTTTATGATCTGGATATATTTTGTCCCTTTAAAGAGGCAACAGCTTGTGTTCAGAAGCTCATATAATATTAAACCACACTACCCTAGTCCTTCCTGCCCTCTCAGCTCTCTAGAGTCTTAGCAAGCTGTCAGCAGGTGAATAAAGCAACGACCGACAAGAACTGTCAATGGGACTCGAGCCCTGGCCACGTTCATTGAGCAGCTGCATGCCAACATCAAAGGTAGTGTGGACAGGCTCTCCTTTGGGGACTTTGTGCTTTGTTGGTAGAAAGAGTCACGATCGCCTTATGAAGCACATGAACAGGGTTGGGCTGGGCTTCCTAATACCAAGGGACTGGACCATCCCATAGCACGGGGACCCTGAAATGCCTGGGATCCCTACTGTCTACCTTATAGAGGCTTACCTAGTGACATATCTTCTCTACAGACATCATGGAAAAGGTGGCAGCGTTGAATGAGACCGCACGTGGGGACGTCCAGCCATCCATTTCTGCTCTTCAGAGCATGCACCAGAACATTTCTTCTCTGCTGGAACTTACAAAGAAAAGGAATTTCACAAAGTGGCACCAAAATGCTACCCTTGAACTCAAGTAAGTTCCGAGCACTGTTCAGACTACCATCAATGAGAACCAGGCATTTGGTTGCTGGAGAGAGGAAATTGTGGGGAGAATGATCTTTGAGAATTAATATTGTTAATTGAGGAGAGAGGCCCAGCTGTCCAGGAAATGAAGGGATGGGTACCTGCCCCTCCATATACAGAAAACAGATCAGGGAAACCAGTATAGTCCATCTCTGCATACTGTGCAATAGGCTCTGTTTTCCTGTGACTTGTAGGTTAATTTCACCTACTGCAAACCAGAGAGCGTAGTAAACTGTTATGTAGATCACACACAGGGTGATCTGTCAAGAATAATGGAGGACACCTAGACGATCAACTCTGGGACAGACAGACACTGTCAAAATCACAGAGCTCGGTCTTGCAAGCCCTCATAGAACCGCACAGTGTGCAGCCCCAGAGAATGGTTGTTAGTAGACTTGGGAGCTTGCAGTTTCCTTCCTGGCCCCTTTTTAGCTTTTTCTACATGGTTGGTAGCTGGCACTGTCTTTCCGTCAGGTAGGTTCAGGATTATTTTAATCAGTTACACGAGACTCGCTCATTCTTTCTAGTAGCACCGGAAGTGTTTGTGAATTTTGTTATTGTAAATTATCATGTGACAGATACCTTGGGCAAGCCTTTTCTGTTATTTTCCATATTTCTATGTGTTTTCATATAGATATTTATACTACAAGTTCTCGCCCTCACCCTCCCCTTTCTTGTCCCATTCCCCCTCCTTCTTTTTCTTTTCCTTCCTGTCCTATTTTCCCTCCTCCTCCTTCTCCTCTTTTTCTTTCTCCTTTGAGGCAGGGTCCCACCGTGTGTCCCTGCTGGTCTAGAACTTAACATTGTCTTGTCTCAACCTCTTGAAATCTGCGTTTACAGTATGTGTCCATGCAGACTCTGCCCTGCCTGTCTGGGTTTCAGGACAGTAGATTACCAGAGTAGATAGAAGGACCAGATCATTTAGTCCCAGGATCTGCACGTGGAGGCTCCCTAGTGCTTGTTCCAGATCAGTTCCACAAGGATGCTAATGTAAGCACTGTGCTCTTTCCCCCAGCAACACACACATTAGGTTCATCATTCCTTTTGCCCTTGAACATATCTTTGGCCTGCTGTTTTGCTTGGGTGGAACTTGAAAGGCTTGGTTGGATAGGGTTTGGGATGAGATCTCATGATACAGTCACTCGATTGTTGGTTCAGAGAGACTGGACAGGCCTCGAGAAAACCGAACTGAATGCTGTGAAGGCAGCAAGATGCCAGAGCAGGTAACAAGACTACAGAGTGCCCAGCTACACCAGCGAGAGTGGCAGCTCTGTCTCCTGCTGCTGCCCCATGTAGGACAGAATCCTTGCCTATGAAGGAGCTTAGTAAGATGTAGATTCCCGGGCTGGTCGTCCTAGAGATCCAAAGCCACCTGTGGGAGTCCCCTTCCTCACACCACCCTTTGGTCACTCAACAGACAGATATGAACCCCACGTGCAAATATGATAGCAGGATTTGGGGATACCCAGAGAGACAATAGAGCCTTTGTGCCCACCAGAGCTTCTAGACCACTTAGGAAGAGTTCACTTTTTGAGAATGCATTTGAAACAAAGCAGGGAAGGTAGGGCCAGCCCCTCTCCCTCCCAACTGGCTGGATCTTCTGGGACTGCCTGTTCTATAATTGCATCTCCCTTTCTGTTTAGAATGCAACTGTCAATCAGATTCTATACTTCTCTCTTCCTTCTATAAGTGAAGTTATGACTCGGGGCCTTTATTTTAAACATTGGGGAATTGAAAATGTATTTTCTAGCCTTCATTTTCTAGTTTCTGAGATAATCCCTTTTCCAATGTCATAGGTTGTTGCAGGAATGATTTGTCATCATATTACTAATTATAGTTATTATAAAATTCATGCTCCATGCTTCAGTCTGGGTAATCAGCTTTGGTGCATCTGCCAGTCATTCACTCAGTGCCAGACCACTCCCATCTTCAGGGACCTACTGCAGCTCCCAGGATTCCATGTTACTACAGTTCCCAGGATTCTCAGCACTTATGACTGAGAGTCTTTAAGGCTGTGTGTTCAGATGAGGAAAAGGACAAGGAGCCGCAGGGAAGTGTGGGAAGGAGTGCATGAGAGGTCGTCTAGGCCTGTCGATGCTGAGGCATGCATGGGCAGCCCGTATATGGCGGTTCTGTTGAACTTGTCCATGTTGATGAGGATGACTGACCAGGTTTCTTCCTCAAGAGGGCACCAGATATCATTACAGATGGTTGTGAGCCACCATATGGTTGCTGGGAATTGAACTCAGGACCTTTGGATGGTGGCTCAGATGGCTCCGCAGTTAAGAGCACTGTCTGCTCTTCCAGAGGTCCTGAGTTCCATTTCCAGCTTCCACATGGTGGGATCTGATGCCCTCTTCTGGCATGCAGGCATCCATGCAAGTATAGTAAGGGCCAGACCTTAATGTGCTCTGAACTCTGCAAATTTGACATGGCACTTATACATCCTTTCCCTCATCACACACACATGCACACAAAACATAAAGAAAAAAATTGCTTCTAGTCTTCAGCAATCAGGATCCATGCTAACCTTGGTCATTTACACTTATAATCATAACAATGAGGGAGGCTGAGGCAGGAGAATCTTTTTGAGTTAAAGACCAGCCTAAGCAGTATAGTCAAGACCTGTCTAAATAAATAAATAAAAACAAAAAACCAAACAAGAAGTAAGTCACTCTATATTCCTAGAAAGAACTATTATCATTTGAAAATCTCACATTAGGGTTTCAAGACCCAAGTTTTACTTCCTAAGTGGACCATTTCTGTTTATCAGGGCTGCTAAAGAGTTATTGTCATGAATTCAGAAGAGGTTCCAGAAGCCCCAGGAAAAGCTGAAGGCATTGAAGGAGGCAGCCAGTGGCCTCCTTTCAAACCACAGCGAAGAACTGCAGGCGGCAGAGGAGCTCCTGACAGAAACTGAGACCAAGACCCAGGAGAGCAACAGCCTGGGCCTGCTGCTCCTCGTCAAGGCCAACCTGAGAGAGTTCAGTGTGAGTCATACCTCCCTTGTTTTGACTCTCTCTTCACCGACCCTCTTGTCTCTCCCACCTTCTGTTTGAACCTGTGCGCCCCGTTTCCCACCCTTTCTGTGCTTATATGTGTCCCTTCTGCCCCTCTTCCTTAAGGTGCCCTGCCCTGTGCAATGTCTCCTCTCAAGTTTTCTGCTTTCTAGAGGTTCTCCACGTTAAACACGTGAAACTGAGGAGTGGAGGGAAGCTAGGACATACACGTGGGAGAGAATATGCAGCGTTTGTCTTTTTGTCCCTGGGTTATTACCTCAGTACAAAATTTCAAGTTTCATTGACTTTCATACCAATCTCATGATGTCAGTTTTGTGTCTAGCTGGATGAAATTCCATTTGGTGTGTATGCTTTATTTTCTTTACCCGTTCATCTGTTGATGAGCAACATTACCAAATGGGCCTGAGAACCCTGGGTGTTAAGGGGAAAAGAATGAAATTCAATCCCTACACCTTTGGCTGTCCAAAACTCAATTCCAAATGGTAGGGTTTCCCCCTTCTTTATGTTCAGATACGCTCTTTATTCTGCTTTTGAATCTTTTCAGTAGCACATTGTTGATCCCCCACATCAGAAATCTGTGAACTTTTATTTGCCAAAGGTGGTTCACTTATGTTTATTGTAATTTTTGATATAGTTGGGCTTAAATTTATCCTTATTTGATGATGATTTACTTGGTGTATTTTTTTGAGAATCCCTTGTCTAATTCCCCTTTCCTTACCTCTTCCATTTTTGCATTTCCCCTTCATTCCTCTATTTAAGATGTATACATCCTGTGTAGATGTAGCAAATACTTCTTAAGATGTAAGAAAAATACTGAAATTTGTGACTTTGGAGTTAGTGTCTACTCTCTGTTCTAATTGATTCAAGAATTCTCAACATGATTTTCTCTTTTGCCTTCTTGTACTACTTTGCACTGGTCCAGCCAAGCCTTACGTTGAAATACCGTGGAAGTTAATGCCTTGATTTTTTTGCTTCAGGTGATAAAATTTGTAATGTCTGCATATCTCTCATTGGACACACTAACTACTGCAGTACTAGGGATACAAATTGTTGCCTCTTTTTTTATTTTAAAGCAGATTCTCTACATAACTGTGACCTGGAACTTACAATGTAGACTAGCCTGGCCTCAAACTTACAGAGATCCCCCTATGTCTGTCTCTGTGGGCTAACCACACCCAGCCAAATCACTTTATTAACTTTATAAAATATTCCTGTCCATTTTGCAGCCATTGTTATCTCTGATTAACTTTTCTATGTAGATGCAGTCGCTCCTTGAAGTGTCTGGTGAGAATTTTGTTCAAACCCGAGTTTATTGCTATTTCAACTATATCTTTTCTCTCATTCAATACTCACTAAATATTTTTTATGCTGGTTAAATAATGATCATACAGTTACTTCAAAGTCATCCTTACCTTTTCACTGGTACCGCTGTTCAAGAGTTTTAGTTACTCTCCCCAGTTAAACTCCATGCTTCTCTTTCATGGTTTCATCTTTTGTGAATTGTGACTTTAGGATTTGTACTCATGTTTTTACTTGAGAAACCTGCCAGCTTATTCTATTTCATTCGCTTGCTTCTGTTGATTGCATCAAAAAGCCATGATATAATTATATTTTCATTAAAATAAAACTGTTAAGAAAAAAGCCATGGTTATACCCTTAGGTTTAATTGCATTTTTCTGATGACTAGGGATGCTGAATGCAGTTTTAAATATTTGTTGGCCATTTGTAATTGTACATTGTCGTTTTTGTAGATGTTGGCCGAGTCTTTGCTTGGCCCTTCTAACTCAGTGACCTCATTCTCATCTGTCCTTTCTGTTTTTATAAAATAAAGTCTCCCCTTACCTTTCTCATGTATATGTAGAGGTTTCTGCTATTTTAATCTAATAGTTTTTTCATGGCTTTAGGGTCATTTCTCTGAAATTTTACTCCAAATTGCATTATGCCATTCAAGATTCCTCAAACTGCTGAGAAGTCAAGAACAATGGCACTGGGTTTTGATCCTACTGCACGTACTAGCTGTATGGGAGACTAGGCTGTTTGGATGCTCACCTTACTAGACCTGGAAGGAGGTGGGAGGTCCTTGGACTCCCCACAGGGCAGGGAACCCTGACTGCTCTGCAGGCTGATGAGAGAGGGGGATTTTGATTGGGGGAGGGGGAGGGAAATGGGAGGCAGTGACGGGGAGGAGACAGAAATCTTTAATAAATAAATAAATAAATAATAAAAAAAAGATAGTATCAAGATTCCTCAAAATGTCTGGTTAGATAATTCTTTTTTCAAAATCATGAACTGTTAGTTTCGAAGAATGTGTCTTTAGTCACTGTGTTGCGTTTGCTGTGGTCAGGGGACAAGAGAACATATTTACTATTTTCATTTTTAATTAATTGCTACAGTTGGAATGCAAGTCATGGGCTTTTTTTGTGACCTGTCATTCATCTGTATCATTGTACTTTCTGTATTTGACCTCCCTGCTCTTCTCCTCTGCAACCCCAGTGAACAACTTTCTCCCTGTAAGTAGTTTCTCCTCTGCTTTCACATCTGTGTGACCAAGTCTAGATTCTGCATATGAGGGGACATATGGGGCATTGTGTTTTCTTCTTTCTCTCTTTGCCCTCCCCCATTTATTCCCTTTCCTTCCTCATCATAGTCTCTCTTATTTCATGTCTGTATATGTCCTACATATGGGATCACACACACACACACACAAGTATGTGTCCATATATGACAGAAAATATGGTTCATGTATTTCTGAGTCTGACTTGTGTTGCTTATGTTATCATTTTTATTTTTACATCAGATTTATCATGTTAATGAAAATCTCTATTAGTTTTCCTGAAGGTGCTCTATTTCACCTTCTTTATGGCTGAATAAAACTCCACTGTGTGTATGGACCATATTCTCATCAAATTAATCTGCTACTCATCTTGTGTATTGTGAGTGCCTCCCTTCCGTAGCAAAACCTCCAGGTTACACTCTCACCAGCATAAAAGAGCATGAAACTTCCCTAGCATTTTTGTCATGTTGTTTTCCTGGTGACAGCCGGTCTTATGGGTGAGATGGCATCACAGTGTTGTTTAATTTGCATTTTCTTGATGGCTAAGGGTGTTGAACAGTTTCCACATACTGGCTGTCTGAAGTTCTACCTTTGAGAACAGTTCTATTTATTCACCTATTTACTGATTAGATGGGTTTTCATGTTTAATTCTTTGGGACCTTCTTTATTGCCTATGTTAATCCTCTACCACATATCCACTTGCAAAGATTTTCTCCCATTCTGTTGTTGTAAAAGGAGAGGCGGGCCGCTTCCCGCCGCCTGGCGCCCAGCTAGCTTTACTTAAAATAATTACACGGAAACTATATTCATTTAAACACTTCCTGTCCCATTATATCTAGCCTCTTCTTGGCTAACTCTCACATCTTGCTTTAATCCGTATCTATTAATCTGTGTATCACCACAGGGTCGTTTCTTACCGGGAAGATTCTAACCTACGTCCATCTCGGAGAGGAGAGCCATGGTGTCTGCCACACTGCCTTCTACCCAGCATCCTGTTCTGTCTACTCCGCCCACCTAATTTTCTGCCCTATCAAAAGGCCAAGGCAGTTTATTTATTTAACCAATGAAATCAACACAAATCAGAAGACCCTCCTACATCATTCTGTCAGCTATCTTGCCACTCTGATGCTCGTCCCCTTTGCGGTGCAGACACTCCTCGATTTCATGGTTAGTCCTTAACAATGTTATGACCTGTGAGAATGCAAAGTTAGAATGATCAGTTATCTCTAAATAGTCTATATTATCTATGTGATTTACTGATGAAATACATTGGAGGAGTACTTTCTGACTAAGTGTTATACAGTTATGATTTACTGTAGAGTAACACAGTATTCCCAGCATCAGCAGCTGTATAATACATGTAGTAACTACAGTCTCATTATAACTAGAAGGTCATAGATAAGATGACCATTATAGTAAAAATTTGTGCATACTCAAATGTGATTTTTGTGCAACTTTCATGTATCACAAAATTTTCTTCTTTTGGTCCCTTCTCAACTAGTGAAACAAGGTAACAATTATTCTACGTCAATGGGATGTATTAAAAACATGGGGCAGAATATGTTTGACTTGAATATACTATTTTATTAATTATAATTTAGAATATTGTGCCATAATATGGAAAATGTTCATAACACATTGAATGTGAGAACACAGGTCATAAAGCATGTACATTGAATGTGACAACATCTCTGTTAACAAACAATATCCAGCAAGATAGCCAGCCTTGGGTGATGGATGTTATATCAAAATATTTACAGGTCTACCTTGGTTAGATTATGGGCAAATATAATTCTCCGTGTGTTTGTATATTCTGAATTTGTATAATGATTGTTTATTGCCTTGTTTTAAAAATATTCTGATATCAGAAAATGTTACTTATTCATTGTCACCAAATTGGTACTGAAACAATCTGTTTTGTTTTGCCACGCCACTGTTTTGTGTTTAGCCAACAACCCAAGTTTGGAAAAGCTGATTCCTATGAAAAACTGGAGAAACTAGGAGAAGGACTTTATGCAACAATCTAAAAAGGGAGAAGCAAGTAAGTTAAATATTTTAAAGAACAAGTCAAGGGAGAGAGAGAGGGCAGCTGAGGCCTCAGAGAATGGCAGCGGTCGGTGGCTCTGGTGCTGCATCGCGCCTCAGGCTGGGAAGTTGTCGCTCAAGTCTCCCGCTGCCACCTGTGCTGCGGCCTCGCGGCTCTGCCTTACAAAGGAGGGCAAATGAGCCTGCCCTTGTCTGGGCTGAGCTCTGGACCACTTTCACAAAGTTGACTGGACCCAGCGCCACCCAGATGTATGACCTCATTGAGCCGCAGCCGTGCCAGAAGATCCGCAGGATGAAGAACTTTGTC